CAGGGGGGGTATTTTTATAGTGGAAAAGTTAATTTATTACCTCGTAATTTTTTCTAAAATTGTTTAATATTAATAGAGTTTTAAACAGTATAAATTAGCAATAATAAAAAAGTTTCTCTTGTAAAACTGCCCTTTATACTTGTTATTTAATTTATTACTAATATTCATGAATGGACGAATTAATAATTCATACTGATGATTTAATTCTCTTAAATAATACGATTTAAACTACTTAAACGTGTGCTATTTATAAATTATCGATGTATAAAATTAGGAACAGTATTAATAATATTCTCATTATATTAATAGTTTAAAAAATTCGAAAGTTATATCATTCGAGGATAACATGATTACTATTCCACATTTCGTTTCTTAAAACTCGACAAACCGGAAGTAACCTTATTCTCATCGGAAGTTTCGCGATGTAGGAAAGTTCGAAGAACTTTCGCACTATTTCGGATCTTCCAAAAACTCTTCTCAATTTGATTAAGAAAAAATTGTTATTTTCGACAAAAGAATAGTAACGGGCACTTTAGTGTTCTGGCTAGAACGATACGCAGGAAGGAAGGCGTTGCGTCCAATGTTCCTGCAGGAACCGACGGAATCGATAGACGCGCAGGCGCTTCTCGTGCCAGGAATCGAGAGAACCAGGAAGAGAGAGAGAGAAAGAGAGAAAGAGAAGCGGTGAGGTCCTCGGCACCGTCCTCTATGCGGCGGAGGGAATCGAGAGGGTGAGTGGGACGTGGACCGACTAGCCTTCACGTTGAATCCCTCGCGGATCAGCATCCAGTGCTCGTATCACAACGACAGCCGCGATACCGCGTCCGTCCGCGCGTTTTCAGCCGTCCGTTCCCTTCAGCCCGTGCGTTGCGATCTAATTAATCTTATAGCAGCAACTACATGCAGTAATAGTGGCTGACAAAGTATAGCTTAAATTGTAGCTCGAAGACGGTCTTTTCACAGAACTCTCATTAATTTATTTAGAAGAAAAATATTTCTTGTAATTCGATTCAAACGTCTAGATATTTTTATGCAGCGAAAAAATCTGTTATAAACAGATACACGAAAGCGATGTAAAATTGTAGTGAGAAAAATAATGCCGCTATTACAGAATTAAAAATAATTAGACACTTGAATTAGTTCCTTTCTTTTTTAAAGAAAAATCGCAAATAGTGCGGTTTATTGTCTTTGATTTCTTGATAGTTTAGATAGTTTACTTTAATAATGCGGTTATCTTGTTATTCTTGGAAACATCAAACCGATTTAAAGTGCTGAAAGAGGATAACTGCATGATGGATCGTTTGGTGTCTCGATTCGTCTAAAATCAAAATATGTCCAATATTAATGATGCCGTCCACGTGTGACGTCCGAGCGTTGATGAAGCCGCGCGAGATGGGAGTCAAGTGATTTTTCGCGAAGTTTGAGGAAATAATCACGCTTCTGTCACCTGCCAAATGGACAGGTTATTTCGATGGAAGAGCCACAAGGCGCAGGACGATGTGAGTACACATGGAAACATACGAGCTACTCACGTCTCACGGAATTTACATTTGACTATGCAAACCGTGTGCGGCAATAAAAGTCCCGAAGGAGTCTGGCTGAAGTTTTACGATGTCCCATTCTCACCTATTCCTGAATGAAACTACGATAAACTACAGAATCAATGCTTAGAAATAATATTTAAAGTATTCGAAAAATGTCTTAATCTTCCATGCGGTTCTCTTTCATGTTCTTTGTAGAATTTTCTGTTTAGCGAAATTTTTTAATTATACATTGTTAATTTTTCACCTACGATAATTATAACGCTACAATGCCATGTGCATTTCATATAACATTTTATATTGGAAAACTGTAATTTTATTGCTCTATTGTAATACACTTAAAAGATAAAAAAAAGTAATTTGAACTTCCGAACAAATATAAAAAAGTGAAAAAGGCTAATGGGAATTTTATACAGTATACACAAATTTCATTAAATGAATATTATTCTTATTAAATAATTTCACAACATTAAGCGAATACAATTACATATTTTGGCTCACGCTTTTAGCTACCTTTAATAACGAATGAACCAATATATTGTTAATTCTTCTATTATTCTATCTTTTATAATAGCAGAATTAACACTGCATCCATTTCCTTTGCTAATGAATGGCCAAAGCGTGAATCGAACCGTTCAATTATAGCATCCGCTTAATGCTATAATTATTCATTAAGAATTATATTTATTTATTGAAATTTGCGCATTTATTACCTCGCAGACTGCCATTAGTTCTTTTCACTTTTATATTCGAATGATACATTTATATTCATAAAATTTTATCATATAATTTATATATCATATAAATTATAGATGTATAATAACATTTTATCTACGTCGGAAGAAGATTGGATTAAAGGTCGATGAGAGATTAAAATAAGAAGATAAAATGTTACATCTAAATACTACCGAGCTCTCGTTCGAGCTCGGGGTTTAATGCAAGCACGCTGATAGTACAGAATACGTGAATACGCATGAAACGAGACACGGGCGTAACGTCCGCGTCCGCGGGTTTCGCGTTACAGGAAGAGCCGGCATTATCCGTGCGGATCTAATTGTTGCGTCGGTTGGCCGAATGATGGTTAACGGGTCGTTCACCACACCCACACCGAGCTCATCACCGATATAGTATGAATATCAGATAGGAAGTATATTCAGCGAACACAGGCAGTACATGAATACAATTAAAAGTTTGAACTCGAAAAAGACGAAGAAAGCAATATAGTTTTCTTAAGAAAAAACTCAAAAAGTTCGTAAATATTTTTCTTTATGATTATTTTATAATTGTCTCTCATAAAGAAAACATGAAATTTATATCAGAATATATCAATAACAAACAATCGTGATTAATAATTTGGAAAATTTTCCCAGACTCTCTCTTACCCTCCCTTTTCCTCCTCCTCCTC